TGCTGCCAGGCACTGGCCCCCAAGAGAAAAACACTGCATTGACCTGAGGCCGTGGAGAAAACTTCCAAAATTAAATGACTGAACTGGGATTGTGAGTGTGGAGTTTGAATAGAAGTGTATGAGATAACATGGTGGGAAACTTAGAGTTTAAGTTTTATATATTTATTAAATTTATTTCATTTAAAATTTAACATTATATTCAAAATTTACTTATTTATTTAAACTGAGAGTTTTACATTTTATATATTAATAGAATAATAGAGTTTAAAGTTTTATATATTAGTAGAATACTAGGTATATATAGTAATATATATCTATTATATATAATATAAATATAATATATTATATATATTATAATAATATTAAATATAATATATTATAATAATATAATATATAATATATTATCTATTATAATAATATAATATAATATATTATTATACTATATATTATTAATAATATAATATATATAATATATTATTATACTATATATTATATATCTATTAATATATAAGATGGAGGTTTTGGGGCAGAGGCTGGTCCTTCATCTTCACTTTCTTCTTTACCTTCTTCATCTTTCTCTTCACCTTCTTCTCCATGGGTTTGGGTTGTTTGTAACGGCATAAAAAGTCCCCATTGTGGCCATGGGTGGTTGGGTATTGGGTTAAAAGTAAAAATAATTCAGGTGTCATTTCTTAATTGGACAGTTTATCCTTAAAAGGCCTTGCAGAGAGAGGTGGGGCTCCATTTTCAGTTGGTGAGAGTGAAGTGCTGCAGAACTCAGGGTTTGTGAGACTGTGACAGAGATAAGAACTAACAAACATCTGAGTCCCAGCAAGAAATTCCATCTTGTGCATTTAATCCCTGGCAAAAAAGAAGCAAAGCCTGCGCAGGAGTCAGGTCTGGGGCAGCTCCCAGAGCCCAAATCCTGGCCGTGCTGGGATTGTTCCTGCCCTCCCCAGTCTGCGCAAGCGATTCGAGCCCATCCTCAGCCAGAAACGCCTCCAGGCTTGCCCTGGCTTCCAGTTCGTTGGGGCTTAATCAGGAGGAGTTAAGCTCGGCTGTGTTAACACGTTAACTGCTGGGTCGGGCCTAATCTCCGTCCTGCTGGAGCCAAAGGGACCTTTCCTTGAACGGGATCAGGAACAAGAAGCACAAACACATCGGAGCAGGGGTGAGGTGATTCCTCACACCGAGCAGGGGAGGGATGCCCAGCACGGACTGTGGGAAAGGAATGCGGGCTCAGCCGAGAAACTGAGAGCCTGTTTAAAGCCAAAAACTGATAATAGCTGTGTTTAAAGCCAAAAACCGATAATAACTGTGTCTAAAGCCAAAAACCGATTGATAGATGTGTCTAAAGCCAAAAACTGATAGGTGTGTTAAAAACCAAAAACAAATAGGTGTGTTTAAAACCAAAACCTGCTGGGTTTGAAACCAAAAACAAATAGGTGTGTTTAAAACCAAAAACCAATCCCTGGGTTTGAAACCAAAAAGTGATAGGTGTGTTTAAAGCTAAAAATCGATTGCTGTGTTTAAAACCAAAAACCCGATTGCTGTGTTTAAAACAAAAAAGAGATAGCTGTGTTCAAAACGAAAAGCTGATAGGTGTGTTTAAAGCCAAAAAGTGATCGGTGCGTTCAAAGCCAAAAAGTGATTGCTGTGTTCAAAACCAAACCCCGATTGCTGTGTTTAAAACCAAAAACTGATAGGTGTGTTTAAAGCCAAACCTGATAACAGCTGTGTTTAAAGCCAAGAGCTGATAGGTGTGTTTAAAGCCAAAGCTGAAACCAGCCGTGTTTAAAGGCAGAGCGCTGCCAGGGGGCAGCAGGAGGTGGGGAATGTGTTCGAGCTGCAGGATCCTTCGTGCTCCTCTGGGTTTGGATGGACGGATGGAGTGTCTGGGAAGCACAGGGTGATCACCCCGGCAGCATCTGTTGGGTGGGAAAGGCTTTGGAGAGCTGCGGCTGCCCCCAGAGCCGCTGTGTTGTGGGGAGCAGCGGCTCGGAGCTGCTGCTCCACGGGGGAACCTCCCGGCCCTCTCTGTGTCCTGGGCACCGCGGGGTCTCGGGGTCCCTCTGTCCTACCCCGATGCTCCTGTTCCTTTCATTTGTTTGACTCTTCTGCCCCGTTACGGGGCTGATTTCCAAAACAATCCCAAGTAGTTCCTGCTCCTCAGGAGCTTCTAATCCGCTTTTTTCCCTGTGGGAATTCCCTGGACGCAGTCCCAGGGCAGAGCTGGTGCCATCCTGACCCTTCCTCTTTAATCTTCCCCTCCTGGGATTTTCTGCCAAATCCCGTTCCACGGGGCATTTCCAGACAGGTGAGCTGATGTCCCTGCTAGCTGCCCATCGATGGGGCAGCCTTTGTGCAGTCCCTGAGTGAAATTCCATGATAAATTTATCCTGGAGAAAAGGAGGCTCAGGGGGCCCCTGTGGCTCTGCACAGCTCCTGACAGGAGGGGTTTGGGATCTGCTCCCAGGAACAAGGACAGGAGGAGAGGGAACGGCCTCAGGCTGGGCCAGGGGAGCTCAGGGTGGAGATTTGGAAATTTCCTTTACAGAAAGGGTGGTCAGACTTGGGCACAGGGGTGCCCAATTCCTCCCCATCCCTGGAGGAATTTACCATCCCTGTGGATGTGGCACTTGGGGACGTGGTCAGTGGTGGCCCTGGCAGTGCTGGGGAATGGTCGAACTGAATCTTAGTGGACTTTTCCAACTTTAAGGATTTTATGATGCTATAATTCCAGAAAAATAATAAACTAATAATTGATTATAACTAATTAATTATATCCTATCTGGGCATTTAATGATGAGAAGATGAACTCAACTCCAGAGCCTGCAATTGCTGTTGGGGCTTTTTGAGCTCAGGTTTCAGTTTTTCTCTTCAAGACCCAACAGAATAAAAATATTGTCACCAGAGCTGACTCCCTGCAGGAACCAAGGCTGTGGTTGTGGGTCCCTGCTTGCAGCTCAGGTGTCTTTGTTACCTGAATCCCTGAGGCACCTCAGCCTTCCCTGGGGCTGGTAATGAAGAGTTTAATTGCCAGTTAAAGGTTGTGCTTTTGCAACCCAGCTTCCAAGGTGCTTGGGAATACCTCAGGAACATCATGCAGGGGAACCTGGACTCTTTCCCACCGATTTCCCACTGCTGAGGTGGCTGTGGAGGAGGTTTCACAGAATTCACAGAATCACTGGGTTGGAAGAGACCTCCAAGATCATCGAGTCCAACCCAGCCCCAGCACCTAAACCCTGGCACCCAGTGCCACATCCAGGCTTTGTTAAACACACCCAGGCATGGGGACCCCACCACCTCCCCGGGCAGCCATTCCAGAACTTTATCACCTTTCTGGGAAAAGCTTTTTCCTGCTATCCAGCCTGTATTTCCCTTGGTGCAGCTCGAGGCTGTGTGCTCTGGTTGTGTCAGTGCTGCTGGAGAAGGAGCCCAGCCCCAGCTGAGCACAGGCACCTTTCAGGAGCTGTGAGAGTGATGGGGGCAGCCCTGAGTCTCCTTTTCTCCAGGCTGAGCACCCCCAGCTCCCTCAGGGGTTCCTCACAGGGTTTGTGTTCCCAGCCCCCGTTTCCATCTCTCCCGTCCCTCTTTCCCACCCCTCTCCTTCACACTCATAAATTACTGCGCTTAATCCGCGGGGTTTGGCTTCTCCCTGAAGCTCTGCGGGAATCCCGGGATGCTGCTGGGGAGCCCGGGGGGTGTTTGGGATGCCCTGGAAGGCGATCCCAGCGCTTGTTCCCGTTAATCCCATTAGCTGCCGCTGGCCGCGGTGACGGGAGCGGAGCGGCCGCTGCCCCCGCGCAGCGCACAAAGAACGGGCGGCTTCAAAGAGCCCCCCGGGATTTGCATTTCCAAGCTCCCACAGCCAAGGTCTTCAGGACGGGATGAAAGTGGCTTTTGTTAAACTTAATGGCAGAGTTGATTAAAAAAAAAAGCTCTGATTTTTCCCTTATTAAGGCGTGGTGTGATTCCGCTGTTGGGTTTTTGGCATCTGGGGGAGGGAGAATTCTGCACACAAAGGGAGTAACCTGTTCCCTAGCCGGCTGTCATCATCCCTAGGGGATATTTCCACTATCATTTATCCCACTTTGAGAGCCATGGCTGGGCTGGGCAGGAATAACAAAGAAAATATCAGCAAATTTTCATTAAGCTCCTCATTTTTTGCTGGGAGCTCAAGCAGAACCGAGGTGTCTGTCCAGAAAGTTCATCCCAGAAATCTCAGTGCAAAATATCTGCCAGTGGATCCTAAAGGAAGGAGTTGAAAGGGCTGATTCATGCAGTTGGGATTTCAGGGTTCATGTACTCAAACCCCTCCTCAACACCCCACTAAAACTCCCTCAAAATTCCCTTTGCTGAATATTCAAAATACCCAGTGTCTGCCTGGGTCTTCAGCAATTTCCTTTCTTTGCTTTGTTTGAAGAGCATTGGCAAATAATTTCCCATCTGGATTTCTGGATTAAATGTCTCCTATATTGCCTAAAAGAAAGCACCAGATGAAAGAAATACGTCTGTAGAGCTCCTGTCTCAGTTTTGGTTCTGGTTTAGCACTAAATGTTGCCACACACAGAAGGGTGAGCAAACATTTCCTATTTCCAGGGTATCGGTGCTGGCAGAGGTTGGATTTTCTATATACACTTTAAATTCTGCCTGCATGACTCTTCCTGCTGTGTTTATCAATATTAAGCACAAGCTTGGTTCAAAAATAGAAAACTATGTGTTAGCTGCTTTAAATAAACATCAATCCTATTTTTCCAGGCAGTTTATATTTCTCCTCTAATCAAGGCTGGGTGTATTTCTGAGCAGAGCCTTAAAAGCACTCATTTCATACAACATTAATGTGTATTTTGGCTGAGCTGAAATGCCACTTTTTACCAGGCAGATGAAAGGGGTCTATTTAAACAAACAAATACTCAAGATCTTGTTGAAGAGAATGAAATAATCCTAATTGTTTTCAACATTTTGCAGTCACCTTTTTGTGTTTCTGGCTGTTTCAGGGATGAGTATGAGGAGGATGGGTTTTGCCAGCCCTACAGGGGCATCGCCTGTGCCCGCTTCATTGGCAACAGAACCATCTACATGGAGTCCCTGCACATGCAGGGGGAGATAGAAAATCAGATTACAGGTGGGTAAAAACACCTTGGCTGCTTCCCCACCCAGCTGTCTGCTCCCAAAAAGCTGCTGGATTTTTATAAACAGTGATGTTGTTTTGCTTTGCTTTATTCCCTCCTGCCATGAGCTCCTCTGGGGGTCTCTGCTCCTCCAGCTCCTCCCAAAACATCTGAAAAAAAAAAGATTTTTCAAGGACGAGGGGCTGTGTGTTTACAGCTTCTGGGAGACTCAGTGCTGCTTTACCCCAGCAGGTTTTGAAAGCAAAGGGGGGACAAACTTTAATTGATTTTACATGGCTGGAATAATTTAGGTGCTGGGAAGGGCTGCATAAATAATCCAGCAAGCAGTATTATTCCTTTGGATTTAGGGGAGAACCGGTTGCAATTATTTTTGTGGGATGTGCTGATGGGGTTGCTGAATTCATAGATATCATAGATACCATTATATTCTCTATTTTTTATATAAATTAACTTGGTCTGATCCTAGGCCTGGTAATCATCTCTATATTCAGATTTTTTTTCCTTGCTGTCAGAATATCCCAAATTTCTCTTTTCCTTTTGTCTCCAAGCACTGTCAGCATTGCAAAAAAAAGGCTTCCTTTCCCCAAGAAGGGCAATGTGGAGCCACCTGTTCATAATCTTCCAGCATTTCATTTGAAAAGTTATTCAGGATTGCATTGGGATTGTCACCTTCCATGAAGGAACTGATGCAGGAATTAGGGGGTTACCTGTTGGGCTTCCAAATATTACATGAATCTTTAAATTATTCTAAGATATTTGGGAGGAAAAAGGGAATAATTAAAGGAATAATTATGTTTGGGGGGTTGGGTAATGAGCTTAGCATTAATCCCATGATGAAAACCTGATGTATTTTCCTTGTCAGTGAAATCAGCATGGTTAATAACTTCCAGTGTAATTAGTGCTGTGCATTCCTGCTCATCACCTGCACAGCTGCAGTGGGGAGTGAGGGTTTTTCTGGGATGACAACAGCCCAGGGAAAAGGTTCCCAAGCCAAACCCCTGTGTTTTTTTCCAGCTGCCTTCACCATGATCGGCACCTCCAGCCACCTGTCGGACAAGTGCTCCCAGTTTGCCATCCCCTCCTTGTGCCACTACGCCTTCCCCTACTGCGACGAGACCTCCTCTGTCCCCAAGCCGCGGGACCTGTGCCGGGATGAGTGTGAGATCCTGGAGAACGTGCTGTGCCAGACCGAGTACATCTTTGCCAGGTCCAACCCCATGATCCTGATGAGGCTCAAGCTGCCCAACTGCGAAGATCTGCCCCAGCCCGACAGCCCTGAGGCCGTCAACTGCATCCGCATCGGCATTCCCATGGCCGACCCCATCAACAAGAGTGAGTGCTGAGTGCCTGCTTTGCCATGGTGCCTGGCTTAAGGAAGGCAGGAGCCTCCCCTGAAATGGAGAATGTGAACCCCCTTCCTCCTCCAAATTGCTATAAATTTCAAGTTAAGGGCCTCTCAGGCAACAAATATGGGAGCAGGAAATAACAGTTCTCTAATAGGGAAGAAAATAAAAAGATAAAATAAACAATGCAGTAAACTAAAACAACATGGACAGAGTCAGAACACAACCTGACACCCTGTGGGTCAGGGTGTTGGTAGCAGTCCCATTAGAATTGTGGCTCAGCCGTCCTGCAGGGTCACGGCGGGTTCCCTGTAGAAGGGTGGAGTCTTCCTCTGAAGATCCAGGGCAAGAAGCAGCTGCTGTTCCTCTGGGGAATCCAGTGCAGAAGCCATGCTGGTGTTCCAGAATCTCCAGATTATATCTGGGTAGGAATGCTTGGCTGGTGTTCCTGAATCTCCAGATTATATCCAGGCAGGAATGCTTGGCTGGTGTTCCAGAATCTCAGATTATATCCAGGCAGGAATGTTTGGCTGGTGTTCCAGAATCTCAGATTATATCCAGGCAGGAATGCTTGGCTGGTGTTCCTGAATCTCCAGATTATATCCAGGCAGGAATGCTTGGCTGGTGTTCCAGAATCTCCAGATTATATCCAGGCAGGAATGCTTGGCTGGTGTTCCAGAATCTCCAGATTATACCCAGGCAGGAATGCTTGGCTCCTCCCCCTGGGCTCACATCTCCCAGTGGGATGCTGTAGTTCTTATCAGCCATGCAGGGACATTCCATAGCTGTTATCAGCAGGTGTCCCCCCAGAGGGAGGAGTGGCTGTGGAAGAGATGAGGCAAACTGCCCACTTAACAGAAGACAACTGCCATCCAGATGGCAAATAGAATACATCTTGCCTTGTGTGTCCTTCAGACACTCACAAACGAAGAGTGGCTTTGTGTTCTGTTGTCTTTGCAGATCACAGGTGCTACAACAGCACGGGCGTGGATTACCGGGGCACGGTGAGCGTGACGCGCTCGGGGCGGCAGTGCCAGCCCTGGAACTCGCAGTACCCCCACACCCACACCTTCACTGCTGCCAGGTACCCCGAGCTCAACGGGGGCCACTCCTACTGCAGGAACCCTGGCAACCAGAAGGACGCCCCGTGGTGCTTCACCCTGGATGAGAACCTCAAGTCAGAGCTCTGCGATGTCCCAGCCTGTGGTAATGCCTGACCCAGTGTGGGCTGGAGCTGGGGGAAAGGGGATGGGTTTTGGTGCCTTGTGCAGGCTGCCCTGGAGCAGAGGCTGGGCAGAGCTCCAGAATAAAGCAGGGATTCATTCAAAGGAATGGATCTCCCCAATGGATCCACCTTGGGCAACAACCAAGATGAACCAAAATGGCCCCAAAATGCACGGCCGGGCACGGGCTCTGTCCCTGGGATCAGTTCTGCTCCATTTGCACCTTGCAGTTCATTGTCCCCTTCCAGCTTTAGCCCCTGCAGTCCCACCCTGCTTGTTTTTCTCTCTCCAGCCCACGGGGTTTGTGCTCCTGGGGCTGAGATTTGGATCATTTGTCCTTGGTGCCCAGCTGGAGCAGGAATTGTTTTGTCTCCCTGCTCTGTGCACAGAGCTCAGCATCCCCTGATGTGCAGCCCAGACCCACACACTAAAGCAGCACAGAATGTGAATAATAGAAAAGCCAAAACCTGAGGCATCAGTTTGGTGCACAAAATGTTTGTAGGAAAGGCTGGCTGGCCCTGCTCCCAGGACACCTTTGAGCACTTGCTGCCACTGCAGTGACAAAGTGGTGGCATGAAAATAATTTCCTGGGGAATGGCTGTGCACTGCCAGCTCAGGTGTTCCTGACTGTCCAGGTTGTTGTTCCAATCAATACAACTCCTTAGGCCAAATTAAACCATAGAAACATGGAATTGTTTAGGTTGGAAAAGCCCTCCAAGTTCATCACGTCCAACCACCTCCAGCACTGCCAAGGCCACCACTGCCCCATGTCCCCAAGTGTCACATCCACACATTTAAATGTCTTTTAAAGTTCCTTTTAAGACCCCACCACTGCTCTGGGCAGCTGTGCCAGGCTGGACAACCCTTTCAGTGAAGAAATTTTCCTAAATACCCAATCTCAGTCTCCTCTGGTGTAACTTGGGGCCATTCCCTCTGCTCCTGTCCCTGTTCCCTGGAGCAGAGCCCGACCCCCCCGGCTGTGCCCTCCTGGCAGGAGCTGTGCAGAGCCACAAGGGCCCCCTGAGCCTCCTTTGCTCCAGGCTGAGCCCCTTCCCAGCCCTTTTCCCTTCCCTGGACACGCTCCAGCCCCTCCATGGCTTTCTTCTTGTGGGGGGCCCAAAAACAGGGAGAGGGTTTGAGATGCACATGATAGAGGCCAGACTATCTGCCTTCCCCCTGATCTACCCTTTCAGTAAGAACATGATTTAGATCCCATTTTGGCATCGATTCCCATCTTTCCATTAATTGAAAAAGACTTTGGAGCAGACTCAGAACATGTCTCCCTGCAGGAATGTTCATAACCATAACCAGAAAAAATGTGATTTGGTTCTGGCTCTGGAGCAGGAACATCAAAGGTATCTCGTTTCCGAGGGGAAAGGTAAATGTTACTGTGACAACTTGTAGGCAGCATCAAATTTGGTGTGAAACTTTGAATTTCCACAACATCTCTGGGTGGATTTCTGGCATGTCCATGCAAATAGCTGTGGTTTTTTTCTTGGCCTGTTATCAATATTGTTATTTCTACATGCAGATAAAACAATTAGGACCCATTTGTTCAGGTCTTCCATTCACTTCCCCCCAGCTCTCTGAAAAGCAGAATCAAATGAGAGCTGAATCTCCTTTTTTGTTCATTTTGCAAACCCAAAATGCAGCCAGGGCAGTTCTATAAACGCGAATTTCAAATCCATTTTAGAGGACCTGGCAATGCCACCTCTATTTTTGACACAAGGCCTGAGCTGCATTGGCAGTGCTGGTTTAGGAGTTGGACTTGCTGATCTCTGATGGCTTTTCCCACCTCAACAGTTCTGTAATTTCCCCCACACTTTTTGAGTCCTGTACCTCTTCTGCTGTTATTTCAACAGGAATAACAAAAAGCTCTCCTGAAGATTCCTGTGCCAGTCCCCTCTAGATGGGCTCTGAGGTGCCAGGCCTGCCTCAGGCTTTTGATCTGGGATACCAGGACTCTTTTGGAGCCAAACTCTGATTTTCAGGCTTTGCTTGATAATAACTGAGATAGGCTGGCTATGGGCTGGAGAATTCCTGACAAAGTTTTTAATTGCCAAAACCTCTCACTGCTGCCTTACTTAAATGGTTGTTCTGTGGCTTTATTATTCTAAATACAAGCAGGGCTGGATCAGGTGAGCAGTAATTGAATTGTTGAGTGCTAATCTGCATATTAAAACCAGAATACTGTGTGGGACTTGCATTCTGCTGGTTTTGCACTGGCTGAAAGAGCCATTTCAGGCCTGTTTTAATCAGCATTGTGCATTCTGCCCCACCAGGACATGCCTAGATGGGAAATGGATTTAATTAGGGTGGCTCCCAAGAAGCTCATTAACCTAATGAGGCTTCACGGTGGGGGCTGCTACTTAATAAGAATAATAATTGCCTTTGACTGGAATAGCTCAGGTGATGAACTGGTGCCCAGGTCTCCCTCTGCCTCGTGCTGCTGCTTTCTTCTCCTTTCTTCCACTGTATCTCACAAGCTATGAGAGATTTGTTTCATCAAAGTTTGTCAACCTGATTGCAGGGAGAGGTGAAACACGGGGTAATTCGAGCATGAGGCTTAGCAAAGCCCAGCCTAAGAAGGTTGGGAAGGGCAGTGTGTGAATCCCTGCCCCTCTGGGAACAGGGAAAACGCCATGGGGGTGGTGCTTTAGTCCTCTCCCCTTTCCCAAAGGCTGGAGGAATATTTGGGCTACCTCTCCTCTCAATTAAAAACCAGATGGCACAACTTAATCTGAAAGGAATGATCAGAGAGGACGTGGGGGGAGCAGAGGACAGCATGAGCTGAAAGAGGAGAGGGGTTATGCAAAGTGACATCCAGAACCATTTGAACTTTGCCTCTGTCACAATTTGAGTCGAGCCCAAGCTTCAGATCAAGTTCATGTTTAATGAAGTGCATAAAAGAGATCTGTGTGGGCCGCTAAGCACTTGTACAAATCCAGCCTGGAAAACACAGACAAACAAACTGGAGTGACCCTGCAGGGATAATAAAACATTCCCTGTTCTCCCAGGGTCCCCAAGGCAGCCCCAGGCATTCCCAAGTCCCTTGGAAACAGCCAGGGCTCCAGGGATCCTCCAGTCCCCTGGAGTGAGCGTGTTAATCCAGGTGTAATTCCACCCTAAGCCTTGGGAATGCTCCTGGGAAATGGCAGAGCAGGGAGGGCTCTGTGTGCCCTGCCTGGGGCACTCAGGAGGGGGATCTGTCCCTGTCCTTGTCCCTGTGCCCAGGGATCTTGGGATGGAGGAGCTGTCCCTGTCCTTGCCCCTGTGCCCAGGGATCTGGGGATGGAGGATCTGTCCCTGTCCCTGTGCCCGGGGTGCTTGGGATGGAGGATCTGTCCCTGTCCCTGTGCCCAGGGATCTGGCGATGGAGGATCTGTCCCTGTCCTTGTCCCTGTGCCCAGAGCACTCAGGAGGGGGATGTATTCCTGTCCCTGGGGCTCTCAGGATGGGGGATCTGTCCCTGTCCCTGGGGCTCTCAGATTTGGGATCTGTCCCTGTTCCCCCATGGGGCTGCCTGAGCTCCTCCCAAAGCCTCTCCCTTCTCCCACATCTCCCAGCCCAGGGATGCAGTGCTGGGTATCCTGGGCAGTGGCAAAGAGGGATCCAAAATATTTCCAAAATGCCCTGGGAAGAGCCCTGAGAGGGAGCAGGGGTTGCAGGGAGCCTTTGGGCTGTGTTACACCATCCTCCTTCCCAGCTCTTCTGGATTCCTCCCTTTTATCCCTGCTCCAGCTTTCCTGACACCTCACACTGCTTGCCTGGTTCTGCTTGTACTGAGCTGTTCTTTTTTCACCTCCATCTGCTTGCATCCATTCCTTTTTGGTGGAAAGGGGTTGGTTGAACCTTTAAAGGGAGACAGCTCAATCCAGACTGTTCTCCTTTAAATTGTCTCAAACCAAGACACAAAATAAGGAGATTGTATTCCCACCAGAGCTTTTCCTGGAATCACAGAATGCTCTGGCTTGGAAAGGACCTTAAAAATCATTTAGCTCCAACTCCCTGCCAGGGGAAGGGGCACATCCCACAAGCTTCTTCCATAAGATATTTTAGAAATTCCCTTTTCTGTGGTCTGTGTCAGGCCATGACTTCATTTCAGCCCAAGCCAAGGCCACGTCTTTCCTGCCCGTCAGTTGGTTTCACCTGGCAGGGACTGCTCCTGTGTGTTCTCACAGAACTGTTCCTCCACAAAATAATTTCTCCTTTTAATATTAATTGAATAAAACAGCATTCAAGGTGGATTTCAGCAAGATTAAAAGGATGTTTTATTCTTTTTAACACTGTAGCTGACCCAGGGATGTGTTTGACTCCGTGGGATGCTTCATTCCTTCTGGGTTTGTTTTTTTTCCTTTCTGAACCAGATTACAAGGATTCCAAGGAGAAGAACAAAATGGAAATCCTGTACATCCTGGTGCCAAGTGTCACCATCCCCCTGGCCATAGCCTTGCTGTTCTTCTTCATCTGCATCTGTCGGAACAACCAGAAATCCTCGTCCCCTCCGGTGCAGAGGCAGCCCAAGCACGTCCGGGGGCAGAACGTGGAGATGTCCATGCTCAACGCCTACAAACCAAAGGTGAACCCTCGTTTCTGCTCCCACACCTGCAGCCAGGGAGGGAAATGCTTCAAACAACCCAGCACTGAGGCATTCAGGGGGTTTCCAGCCTGGGATTTGTGTGATTTCTGTGAGGGTTTTCTCAGCAGCAGCAGCAGCAGCAGCGTGTGCTGGACCAAGGGGGGGATTCCTGTGTGTCAGTGTCTCTGGAGAAATACTGGAGTTTTTGTGGGATAAAGCAAGAAAGCCCTTCCTGAAGCATCTCCAAAACACCTCATTTAAGTGAGAGGGTAATGCAGGTAAAGATGTGATTCAGCATTTCCTCAGGAGAGCTTTTCATGGCTGTGCTCAGTTCATCTGTCACCTTTCACTCAGCTCAAATCACCTTGGGAAAGATTTGTTCCTTGGGTTTTCAGGCTTCCCCATTCCCTCAGCTAAAAGCAGAAATGTCCAAAATAGCCTCAAAGCTCTGCCTGCAGCACAGCTCCTGCTGCTGCTGTTTGGCTTCAGCACAGCCCCACATCCAGGAAGAATTTTAAAAATCATCTTGATGGAAGTGTGGCCAACCTTGTGTTCCTTTCTCCTGGTGGGATGTGCAGGCCTGGCTGTGGCACCCAGGGCAGGGCTGGAGGTGCCTCCTGCCATCCACAGGCACAGGAATGCCCTGGAAGAGCATTTCCCCTGTGTCCCACACCATGCCAAGGCTCCTGATCCTCAGGAGTCCCTTCCAACTCGGGATATTTTATGGTTCTTCAAGAACTTGATGGGCTTTGCTCCTTTGGAATTTGGTGGAATTTCTTTTAGAGTGAAAACCTGTATCTCAATCCCACACACACTGGTCTGGTGAATTTATCCTCATTTTCCTTGGAAGTTCCCAATTCCAGCTTTCCTGTACAGCTTGGAGTGGTTTTAGCTCAAAATCTTGGTAGCAGTAAAAAAGCATTTAATAAAGTCAGTGTCCAAACTGTATCTTGCATCCAACCTCCTGGAATATTTTGTTAAATTTGGGGTTGCCTCTTGCTCCCTGTTCTGCTGGGAATTGGGGGTTCAGGCCTGAAGATAATAGGAATGCCAGCATCCTTTTCTTGAGGATGCAATTCCCACTTTTCCTGCTGGCACTCACAGCACAGGAAAGCAGAAATTCCTGGAAATGTTTGCAAATATTGACCATTCTCTTTCCTTTCAATTTTCAAATCATGTGCTGCAGGAGTATTTTCATTTTATTTATGCTAATTCAGGATTTTCCCACTGGGAAAGCCAGCTCTCCTTGTCTCCAGTGTTTTGATTGCCTTTCAAACAATATTTTCAAGGAAAGGAAATGGAATCTTATTTTGAAAATTGATGTCAGCTTTGGGTGAAAACACATTTAAGCTTCGAGCTCCCACTGAGGCAGTTGTTTGCTTGGATAAATAGGAATGTTAGCATTTCCTCCAGTTTTAAGGGACTTTAATTGCCTTCAAAAATATAATAAATTAGGGACATCTTGTCCTGGAGCTGAAGAAGAGGTGGAAGGGGTGGGTTTCCCTCTCCCTTTCCCCTGACCTGCTGCCTCTTGTGTATTTTACACTTCCCTACATTTTGGACACCCGTGTGTGACAAATACTTGTCAAACAAAAGCTGAGCAGATTTACAACTGCTCCACTCCAAATGAGCCCTTCCTGCCAAAACTTTATGACTTCATTTTCTTCCCCCAGTTTTCCACTCTGTTGGTTCAAACAGACGGACCCAGGCTCAGGTCAGACAGAGGTCATTTCACTTTCATTACTAAAATATAATTTACAATATGCCAGACCTAAACAAGTTTTAGCCTAAAGGATTTGGGTAATATAAACCATCTGTTCCTCAACAATATAGCTAATTTCCTGCCATCACTGTGCAGTCTACTGGGCTGCCTGCTTAAATGGCTTTACTATTATTATTATTATTATCATCATTATTATGATTATTAATGCAGTGTTTGTATAAAGTCGTAAGTGATCAATACAATTAGAATTAATTCATGCAAAAACTGCTTTTTTCTATGATTATTTGAAACGTCAGGTTTTTTTCCCACATTGCCACTGGAAAGCTGGCCTTGCATGATTTCAGGAATGCAAATGCCAATGTTTACACTAATTTACAGAACCTAGATCCCAAACTCATTAACCTTAAATTACTACCTGTGGATTTACTGAGGGCCCTAAATGAGTGGGTTTGGGTGTTACAAGCACAAGTGGAAGTTGGGAATAATGCAGGTTCTTTATGGCCCAGGAGTGAATATCTGCACACCAAAGGGCAATAAATGTTTAAAAGGTTTGCCTTTCTCCTTTGAGAAACTCACTGTCAGCGTTTCAGGATGGAACAGAAAAGTGGCAACAGAAACAGACTCTGCTGTACCTGGAAGGGTTAACAGCAAAGCCAAGGGAAAATTGGCTACAAGAACATGGTTTTTAAAACAAAATCATTTTTTCCTGCTAAAACTCCAGGCCCTGGCCCAGAAAACACTTCAGCATGGTCCTCTTAGAGCATGGGAATTGCCTCAATTCCTGAAATTAGTCACATTCAATTGGAAGTACAGAAATGCCCAAGGCCAAATGCTGAGATGCTGATGGTTCCTGGGTATATTTGGATCCAATTCTTGTTGTATCTGACCTTGTGGAGAGGACGGAAGGGAATTCTTTTTGTTACCTTTGGGAGCATGGTGATCCCATTTGGATCCTGGTGATCCATTTGGATCCTGGTGATCCCATTTGGATCCTGGTGATCCCCTTTGGATCTCAGTGATCCCATTTGGAGCATGGTGATCCTGTTTGATCCTGGTGATCCATTTGGAGCATGGTGATCCCATTTGGATCCTGGTGATCCCATTTGGCTCCTGGTGATCCCGTTTGGATCATGGTGATCCCATTTGGATCCTGGTGATCCCGTTTGGATCCCGGTGATCCCATTTGGATCCTGGTGATCCCATTTGGATTCCGGTGATCTCATTTGGATCCCGGTGATTCTGTTTGGTTCCTGATGTCCCTCAGGCTGTGCCTGCCACCAGGGGGATCACTGCTCCTGTGTCCACCTCCTTGGCTCCCACACATCCTGCACCAAGAGATTTCCCTTTAAAAAGGCCATTTTCAGTCCTGACCTGTTCTTGGTGTTTCTCTCACAGAGCAAAGCCAAGGAGCTGCCCCTCTCCGCCGTGCGCTTCATGGAGGAGCTGGGCGAGTGCGCTTTTGGGAAGATCTACAAGGGCCACCTCTACCTGCCGGGCATGGACCACGCCCAGCTGGTGGCCATCAAGACCCTCAAGGACTTCAACAACCCTCAGCAGTGGGCGGAATTCCAGCAGGAGGCGTCGCTGATGGCCGAGCTGCACCACCCCAACATCGTGTGCCTGCTGGGCTGCGTGACGCAGGAGCAGCCCGTGTGCCTCCTGTTCGAGTACACCAACCAGGGCGACCTGCACGAGTTCCTGGTGATGCGCTCGCCCCACTCGGACGTGGGCTGCAGCAGCGACGAGGACGGCACGGTCAAGTCCAGCCTGGACCACGGGGACTTCCTGCACATCGCGGTGCAGATCGCCGCCGGCATGGAGTACCTGGCCGGGCACTTCTTCGTGCACAAGGACCTGGCCGCCCGCAACATCCTGATCGGGGAGCAGCTCCACGTGAAGATCTCCGACCTGGGGCTCTCCAGGGAGATCTACTCGGCCGATTACTACAGGGTGCAGAACAAGTCCCTGCTGCCCATCCGCTGGATGCCCCCCGAGGCCATCATGTACGGCAAGTTCTCCTCCGACTCCGACATCTGGTCCTTCGGGGTGGTTTTGTGGGAAATATTCAGCTTCGGCCTCCAGCCCTACTACGGGTTCAGCAACCAGGAGGTGATCGAGATGATCCGGAAGCGCCAGCTGCTGCCGTGCTCCGAGGACTGTCCCCCCAGGATGTACAGCCTGATGACGGAGTGCTGGCACGACCTGCCCTCCCGCAGGCCGCGCTTCAAGGAGATCCACGCGCGCCTGCGCTCCTGGGAGGGCCTCTCCAGCCATACCAGCTCCACCACCCCCTCGGGCGGCAACGCCACCACCCAGACCACCTCGCTGAGCGCCAGCCCCGTCAGCAACCTCAGCAACCCCCGGTACCCCAACTACATGTTCCCGGCACAGGGCATCCCCCAGGGCCAGCTGGCGGGGTTCATGGGGCCGCCGCTGGCGCAGAACCAGCGCTACATCCCCATCAATGGGTTCCCCATCCCGCCGGGCTACGCCGCCTTCCCCGCGCCCCACTACGCCCCGCAGGCCGCCCCCAGGGTGATCCAGCACTGCCCCCCTCCCAAGAGCCGCTCGCCCAGCAGCGCCAGCGGCTCCACCAGCACGGGCCACGTCACCAGCCTGCCCTCGTCGGGCTCCAACCAGGAGGCCAACATTCCCCTGCTGTCCCACATGGCCATCCCCAGCCACCCGGCGGGCATGGGCATGACGGTGTTTGGCAACAAAACTCAAAAACCCTACAAAATGGACTCCAAGCAGTCTTCCCTGCTGGGGGACTCCAGCGTGCACGGACCCAACGACTCGGTGATCTCGGCAGAGTTGTAAATACGCGAGGCCTTTGTACAGAGAACCCTTCGGACGCAGACTCGGCGGGGGCAGGAGAGATGGGGTTTTTTTCCTTATTCAGATATTTTATTGGAGGTCCTTTTCTGGTTGTTGGACAGATGTCGCAGCAAAGTGTCTTCTGTGAAGTTTCACTGCTCGCCAGGATGGGCAGGCACAGCCAGACAGATCCTCACGGTGGGAATCCCCAGCCTTGGCCACGATTCCCCAGGTGCCACCAACAACTCAAAGAGGGGCGGAGGGAATCTGAGGGGTTTTTTTAAAATAAAAACGTTTTATCCGATGCTTTTTCACAGCTTTTTGAAGCGTGGTTTGAATCACGGGAACTTTTTTGTAATACTGAAAACCATATTTTAATATTTGTCTCTTTTTTTAGGAGATGCAAAGATTCGGAGATCTGGGTGTGCAATTTCAGTGCCAATAGGGAAAATATTTGTAAATGTTGCGGTCGAGGATTGTGTTTCAAATGTGTGATCTGAGAGCTGAATCAGTTACTTCAGGTGGGATTTTGGTCTTTGGTTTGGTTGGGAGTCTGAGCTCAGATTCGTACCAAAAAATGTCATTTATGTGACAGCACAAATGCTGGAGTTATCAGCTTGCAGTCTACAAACCTCATCTGCTGCTGGCTGCTGAGGACAGCTGGAGCTCTTAAGGAATTGCCTTAAAGGAAATGAAATTAAAGGGCTTTAATTTCAGAACCTGAATCAACTTCTTCAAAGATAACATTTCATGATCTATTCGCTCAAGCAGGAATTTTATATCCTTTTGTTGCTATGCAACTGTGTAATGGAAAAGCGCCAAACCACAATTTTAGAGATGACAATCAGCTTTCCCAGGAATATTTATTGTGTCATTTCAGTGACTCTGACTCCAGTAACCCTGGAAAAAGGGAGGCTCACATTCCATCAGGCAGCAAATCCATCGATAGCAATTGTGTCTAATAATGTGAATTAGTGCTGATTTTCCACTTAGAAATGCACCATTTGTGTCATTAAAAAACCCATTCAGGTAGAACCAATCGAGATTCTTCATTTGAAACCACTTTAATGAGTTACACACGTGCTGTGTACGGTACATTTTCCACAGACTCTTTTTTTGTACTGAATAATATTTTTATTGTCCACAAAAACCAATCTTTTTGCTCAGTTGACAATGTTGTATAAAAGGACTTTATTTTTATCTTTTTTTGCACAAAAGTGTGATGATGTTTTTGTACAGCAGAAGTGAAAATACATCTCTGCATTTTATATCTTGGGGCTGTTTCTTTTGATTTTTACCCTGATGTAGATGTTCCTGAAATATATTATGGTGATACTCAGCCACTACCTTATACAAATATCTTTCTTTGTTTTCACTGCATGCGTTTAATCACTGTATTACTTGATGATTGAGTTATTAATTACGGGCATTTCAATTAGGCAAGCATGAAAAAAAAAATGTAATAACAAAGGCTATTTTATAATTGAGATATGTGCATTTTTGTATTTCACGTGCCAGAGATGATATTAAACACTGATTATTTTATGCTGCTGTTTATTAAAACATTGTTTTACCACGAACACGTCGGCATTTCCTCCATCCTGAAGGATCCCTGGCTCCCAGTTTCCAGGGAAGCTGAGCTGCTATCAGCCAAGCATCCTTGGCTTTAACCAGGAATTTGGAATAACCAAATCCTTCAGGAGCAGCGGTGGGATCATAAAATGATCCCTCACTCACTTTGTGGTTTTATGTTCAAACAGCTCAGGCTCAGTTTGAGGTTTCTCCTTTATTTCAAAGCTGGGTCCTTGAGGTCAGAGTATTTTTGGGTATGGAGCAGCTCTGAGCAGCACACCTGGAAAGCCTTGGGAGCACCTCTCCCTGCCCTCCCTCCCTCTCAGCTGGGAAATCTGGGAATTCTGAGGCTGAAATCATCGTCTGGCTCACACCTGATGCACAGGGAGGTGACACAGGGAGGCAGGAACTGGTGAGGTCATGTGGAAAAGAAATGCTGCCAGAAATGGAGGAGTCACTCCTCAGGTGGGAATGCAGACAGGGGATGAAAGCTGGCACACAAAAGGAGAGGGGATATTCCAGATGCTAAACCATCATCCCTTCCTTCTTCAAGGAGAGAGCAGAGCCAGGGCTGTTGGAAATGCAGCAGCCTTGGCTGGATGGAGGAGCTCTGGAGGAGTGGGAATAAAACTCTGGATAAACGGCATTCACTGAGCCTCCAGTCTGGACAAGCTCATCCCCTCCAGGCTGCTTGTGCTGCTGTGAAAGAGAATAAATAATAAATAAATATTTGCTGATGTAAAGACCACTGAGGCAGAGCCTGAAATGGGGATTTGGATCCTTTGTTCCCACAGAGGAGAGGCTGGGCTGGAATTCTGCATTCCCTGAGTTGAGAGGAAAAGGCCAGAGCTGCCTGTGCAGAATTGAGGGCTGGGAAGCTCAGAACTCCCCAGGATTTGTGTTTACTCAAGGATCAGGTCAGGAGGGAATCTGTGCCTTGCTTTGTAGGAACAAGGATTTCCAGGAAGGTGTGGAAATCCTCGATCCCATGTCCTTGTCCTGTGGTCTGTGCTCACCAGGAGAGCCCTGAAACCCCCCCAGCTCCAGCCTGCCAGGAGAACACTCCAAGCACAAACCCCTGCTGGATCCAAGGCTCTGCAATGTGGCCTTACCTCCCACATCCATTGGCTCTCGTTCCTGCACACTCAGCAGGAGGAATTTGGCTTTTGGGATTCAGCCTCTTTGGGGTGCCTGGGCTTTGGCTTTGCCTCCTCCAAACGGGGTCAGGGATGCAAAGGAGAGACTTTGGCTTGGGAGGGACCTTCAATCCCACCCCATTCCATGGCAGGGACACCTCCCACTGTCCCAGGGTGTCCAGCCTGGCCTTGGGCACTGCAGGGACCCAGGGGCAGCCACAGCTGCTCTGGGAATTCCATCCCAGCCCCTCCCAGGGAACGATTCCTTCCCCAAATCCTGTTGGATTTCAGGGATTTGCTGGTGCAGCCCAAGCTCCCAGGTGGTTCTGCTGTGAGCACAGGGGCCATAAAGCAGAGAGTCCTAAGCCAGCAAAAAGAAACATTTGGATAGAGTTGCTCTAAAGAACATTTTTTGCACAACAGCACAATAATATTTTTTCAAAACCGCTAGACAAAAAAAAGAGTCAATTTTTCATTTGCAGAAAAATTTGACAGCATCTTTCTTGTGTATTTCAATATTTTAACCAGTGTTTCTTTATGAATTCATGGTTATGTGGTCAGGGGGTGGAATGAGCAGCTGGTTCTGCTGCAGAACATCCATGGAAAAAAAGGGAAAATTCCCTTTCCATGGGCCTGGAGCCTCTCAAAGATGTGATGTCTGTGCAATCCAAGCAGCAATTTTTTATCTTGATGTGGTCTATCTTTTATAGGAGGAGAGGGAATATTGCCCCCCAGTTGGTCACTCTCCAGCCCATGGTATTTCTGCCTGTTTGATCTCCCCCAGATTAAAGTTCAGCCCATTGCAGGACAGTTTATATTGCTGAGGTAATAGAAAATTATTAAAAACAGAGAGAGACACAATATTGGGGCTGCACATCAAAAGCTCTTTAAGACAAAGGAGGGAAAATTGACTCAAAACTGGAATTATTGGAAGCATCTGTGGTGTCCTTTATTTCCCATTTAACAGTGCAACACATTTGGGAATGGTGTTGGGCTGGTGCTGGGCCCTAATTTGCTGAGTTTTACCCTAAACCCTGTGGTTTATCTGCTCCTGCAGAGGGAACAGCAGCTCTTGGTAAATTAATTTTGACCTTGAGACACAAAGGAGGATTCTGCAGCGCTGTAACCTTCAGCTGTGTGGAGGATTTGGGTTCTTTTAATGGAATTTAAAAGCAGAAACCTCTGTTAGATTTATGAGGAACACGTGGGTTTATGAGCCACGAGTGGTGCTGGGAGCAGGATCTGTTGGGGAATATCTGTGTCAATCCAGTGGGGTTTTTATGGGCATTTCCAGAGTTTATCAAAAACCCAATCACATTTTGGAGCAGCAGGGACAACGAGGATTCCCAATCCCCCTCAGTGGGTGCTGGGTCCATCCAGAGCTGTGCAAGGCAGAGCCATGGGAGGGGTCCCCATGGAAGGGGCAGTGCTGGAGTCTGGGATTTGGATTTTGGGGTGGGTCAGCCCCTGGCTCCAGGTGGTTGGGGCCACTGGGGAATGGGCAGAACATCCCATTCATGGAAAAAATACCCTTTAATGGGAGCTCAGCTGCCTGTGCTCACCAATTCCTGCACCTGGGAGGGGGCAGCCCCAGCACAAAGGGGTGGAGAGAGCCCTGGGAGGAGGGTGTGGGTGGGATGGGTGAAGTCCTCCGGGGTCATCGAGTCCAGCTGCTCCACCTGCACTGGCCCAGCAGCCCTGCCCCATGTCCCCAAATGCCACATCCACAGGGGTTTAAAACCCCTCCAGAGATGGGGACTCCACTGATACCTCAGGTTTTGGCTTTTCTGTTTTCAGATTCTGTGCTGCTTTAGTGTGTGGGGCTGGGCTCACATCAGGGGATGCTGAGCTCTGTGCACAGAGCAGGGAGACAAAACAATTCCTGCTCCAGCTGGGCACCAAGGACAAATGATCCCAATCTCAGCCCCAAGAGCACAAACCCCGTGGGCTGGAGAGAGAAAAACAAGCAGGGTGGGACTGCAGGGGCTAAAGCTGGGATGGGACAATGAACTGCAAGGTGCAAATGGAGCAGAACTGATCCCAGGGACAGAGCCCGTGCCCGGCCGTGCATTTTGGGGCCATTTTGGTTCATCTTGGGTGCAGGCCTGGCTGGGCTCTGGTGCTGCCCAAGGTGGATCCATGGAGGAGATGCTTGGAATAAATCCCTGCTTTATTCTGGAGCTCTGCCCAGCCTGCACAAGGCATCAGCACCACTGTGCCCATGTCTGACCACCCTTTCTGTAAAGCAAATTCCAAAATCTCCACCCTGAGCTGCCCTGGCCCAGCCTGGGGCCG